ATCTTCCGACAAGAGTCCAGCAGTGTGGACAGCCTACCACACCTTTTCTCTTGCTCCTCCAAAGCACCCCTTATAACAAGCTGCAGGATGTGGGCTGTGCACCGCACACCCACAAATCCCCCATCACGCACAGCCTTGGTCATGTTGGCAGCACTATCAGAGGCCACAAAGCCCATCCTGCACTTTGTGCCTGCCTGGTCCCCCATCCACTGCGTAAACATCTTTTGCAGTGCCCGCAAGATGTTGTGCGCAGTGTGCTGCTCATCCATGACCTCAGCATGCAAAAGGAATGAGCGGTGCCCCTCTTTGCCACCTGCTGCTGATGTTTATTCAGCAGGTGCAGCTGTATCTTGGGCCACCTTAGGCTGCCACCAATGAGCTGTGAGGGCGAGGAAGGCGTGCTGGCCACTGGGAGCACTCCAGATGTCTGTGGTGAAGTGGACAGACTGGCCAGCAGACCTTATGAGCTCCTCCTTTACCATAGCAAAGTACTCCCTATATAAAGATGGCACCACGGATTTGCTAAAGGTGGTTATAGAATTTCGGAGATTCGGATGATCCGAATCTACGAATTTCCGAAAATTTGTCCGAATTTCGATTCGGAACGAAACGAATCGCACACGTCTACTCAAGACTATCATGGAATTCTGAAAAGAAACATACTTTGCAATGTCAGAAAGTCTCCACAGGACAACAGGATAATTACCTAATACACAGCTAAAAGCATCCAGGAATAGCTGATAACAAAACATTGCACTATTCTGAAGTGGCCTTCTATGAGCCATGATCTGAATCCTATTGAATCTGAATCTACAGCTATGGAAATTGCTGAAATATGCTTTCTGGAGAGGGCTCCACTTCAAGCCTTGGACAACTGGAGCACTTTGCTTAAGAAGAGTGGGCCAAACTATCTGTTGGTAGGTGCAGACAAACTACTTCGGGAGTTACTTCACCTCGTGAGAATCCTGCTGAGCCTGTATACTGAGCTGCACATGCATATTTGTAGAAAGATGTGCTGACAGGCAGGGAGAAACATCTATGACAGAAGAGATTTACAAAGTCTCTTCGGACATAAAAACCCTGCATGTCAGCACTTTTGACAATTTAAGCTTCACTTCCACTTTAAGGGCCCTATCATTTTTGTCCTTACCATTTTCATTTATCGTACTTTTAGAGAATCACTTATCAAAAGCAAAGTCTATTTTTATTAGATACGGAGTAAACAATGAATGGCAATTACTTTTGTCAGTTTAGAGTTATATCAGAGAAAATTGAGTTTTTTTCTCATGGAAGGGTACCATCCTTGTCTGTTTAACAACTTAATAGCACAATATTGACACACATTAAACTCTGCACAACCTACACTACACTACACTACACTACACTACCTGGCCAAAAAAAGTCACCACCCGGATTAAGCTAAGCAAATAAGTAAGAACTTTCCGCTTGATAATTACTAGGTTCAGCAATGTTATGTCCCCAAAAAATTAGGTCAGCTGTCTACCTGAAAATACTGAATGACCATGTATTTCTATCAATGTATTTTTTTTTTCCTTGATGGCACGGGCATATTCAAGATGACAATGCCAGGATTCATCCAGCTCAAACTGTGAAAGAGTGGTTTAGGGAGCATGAGACATATTTTTTCACACATGAATTGGCCACCACAGAGTCAAGACTTTAACCCCATTGTGAATTTTTAGGATCTGCTGGATGTGCTTTACGCAGTGGTCCGACTCCACCATTATCACTACAAGATCATGGTGAAAAATGAATGCATGGATGGAAATAAATGTTGTGACATTGCATAAGCTTATTGAAACAATGCTATGGCAAATGCATGCCGTAATCAAAGCTAAAGGCAATCCAACAAAATAGTGGCCAGGCAGTATAGTTCCAAAAGCATTAGTGTTGGGTCCAATCAGTGAGAGGACCTAAAACACTCAGTGTCCATTTTGTTGTGTTTTGGGGCATTTAATTAAATTTTTCACTAAATATTGGGGTTTAATAAGGAGTTGCGCTAATATTGCGCAACATAAAAATTTGCAACTACCACCATTTTATTCTATAGGGTCTTGGCATTCAGAAAATATATAATGTTGGGGGGTTTTAAGTAATTTTCAGGCCTAAAATGTGGAATATAACATGGGTACAAAAAATGAAAAAAGGCCTCAGTCATGAAGGGGTTAAAAATGTGGATTGTCAAATGTGATTCTAAGGATGGACAAAATCAGTAGCCATCCAGACTTTCAGCAAAAATGCAAGTACCCATGTGCAATAAAAATGCTTTCTTTGATCACTTGTCTTGTAATATTACTTCTAGCTTGAAGTTTCAAGGCATTCAGTCATATTATGGTCTAATTCAAAACAGTGATCAAAACTAATATGACATTTGTATATTTATTTACATAAAAATTGTTATAAGATATGTTCCAAAAAGGGCCTTGTGTAATGTTTTGAATGTTTTGTAATGTTTTAAGTGCTTTAAGATGGTAAAAATAAAACATTTGTGTTTTAGATGTGTAATATTTTTGTTAATCTAACAATCTGAACCTCCAGGAAGCATAATTTCCCTATATTGCATTAATTAGAGAGGGATTGGTTTGGTTGTTAAGGTTAGAGCATGGGTGGACAAACTTCCGGCCTCACCCCTGGGCTAGACTGCTGTTTCGCAATATAACCAAACAGTTAATTTAGCTGTAAACATGAAATTTGCCATTAATATTCCATAAAGTATATATTCTTATAACAGTAATTAAATGTGGTAAAACAATGGGCCATAACAATGAGCTTTGTATATTTTAAATTTTAATATCTTCTCCTAATTTAAATAATATAAACAGCAACTATTTTGCGTAAAGCCCATGCAAACTGCAGGCATTGAAAACACAGCTAGACTAAAAACACAGAAGAGAAATTAAATTTAACTCAACAAAACAAAAAAAACAATATAATCTCTTTGTCATATACTTGTTTGTGATCTAAGTGCTACATTTTTCCATAATATTTGAAATTCATATATCACAGATCACGGAACATCCTTCAAGGTGGACTGTAATATTTGTTCTTGTGTCGCTGGGACAGTGCAATGTTCTAACCGCCAGTGTTTAAATGAACTCAGCTCTGAAGATGATCGTAACATGTTTACTGGTATGTTTCTAACATGTTTCCAGATGTGCGCAGTTGTTTTTTATTTTTTATATATATATGTAGCGCTCACCCCCGAAGGAGCCGTGGGTGAACGGGTCTTCCTTAGTCTGTCTAGGGACTTTTAGCAAACTGGCTGGCCCTCAGATGAGGTGGGGAATAATTTCCGCTAGGTGGGTGGGGACTAGGTACCACTGGAATAGTACTTTATAGGCCACTTCCAAATTGATAACATTAAGCGAGCATTTAGAGATATTTCCCCAAACTTTGCCCCAGTCATCAATAGACCATTTCAAGTGAAGATCCCTTGCCCATTTATTAGGATAAGAATAAAGGTCAAGGCTTGGCAGCGCATGCTGCCTAGAGTATAAGATTAAGACTAACTTTGGTCCACTCGGGGAATAAAGGCAGGCATGTTCAAAATAAGTAAGCCGGTTGTTCAAAGTTCCACCTTTCTGTAGATAAGATACCCAATGTTGTAATTGTACAAACCAATATAGTTCTGTATCGGGGATAGCTGCATGCATCATCAGGTAAGACCAAGTGGGGACAGTAGCATTTCATAACAAGTCATAAACTCTATTATATTCATGGTTACTCCATCATTTAAATGCGCTTGGGTTATTGAATCCTGGAAGGAATAAAGGTTGAGAGAGGAGTGGAAGAAAGGGCAAATAAGGTGATATAAGGCCTGCCGAATATTTGAGAGTGTCCCAAACTTTTAGGGTGTGTTTCATAAGAGGGATTAGAGTGGACAGCCTGTCCTTGGGGGGCTAGTTTGGATGCTTGATAGTATAATTAGATATTCGGCAGACCCATACCTTCATCTTTTTTATGTTTATATAAGGACGATTTTGACACCCTAGGGAGTAGCGGGCGATAATTGTCTGGGTTTAGATGGTCCTTGTCTGGTTTGGGGACCATGGAAACGTACGCTAGTAACGAGGACGGATGTACAGAGGCTCCCTTCCCAATGGAATTGAACATTGCCATTTAACCTTGGGGCTAGTATAGCCAACTTTTTATAGTAAAGGGCAGTGAATCCGTCAGGGCCAGGGGCCTTAAGAGACTTATAGAGGTTAGTACCTCCTCCTCTGTAATAGCTGATTGCAAGCCTTCTAGGGCTTCCTGGGGGACTCCACGGAGTGATAGACCAGCAAATAAAGCATCTGCTTTTGCTCTACTAAAGGTCCCAGAGGCAGAATAAAGTTTTGCTAGATTCTCACGGAACAAATGAAGAATCCTTTCTGGATTTGCTGTCACATTCCCCTAGGTATTACTTAGTCTTTTAGGAGTGTGCTGTGGAGAGAAGGCATTCAGCTTGTGGGCCAACATAGATCCAGGTTTATTAGTCCTGGAGTAGGTTTTGTGTCTGAACCATCTAAGAAATTTCTCTGACCTGTGATCCAAAAAAAGGTTCAATTCCGTCTTAATAGAGAAGAATGTTGCCGCCAGTTTTCTATCAAATATATCTTTCAATTGTCTATCAATCTCCTCGAGTTTAGCATACAACTCACGTACTTTCTTTTCCCTTTCCCTCTTTCTGCGTGTGGCCATTTCCAGTAAATGGCCTCTCATAGTGACTTTATGGGCCTCCCAGAGAATAACTGGGGAGTCCAGAGAGCCCTTATTCAAGGAAAAATATTGACGGAGCGTCAATAAACAAGACATGTTCTTCACTTTAAATATGGTGTTCTGGTGACATCTTTAACATGTATGTTTGTAGAGGCACACAGTGTACTAGCACACACAAGGGTGGCTCCATGTAACCGTGCAAGGAAAAGGAGTGACCCTAAAACAAGATATCAGGTTCAATGCTCAGGAAGACCAGCTGATTCTGCAGGAAACCAAAATTTTCAAACTTCAAGAAGCAGCGTCCATTGTAAGTGATAAAATCATAATTTAAGATAGTTTAAAAACCTTTTCACACCTCTCTTTTATGATATGTCTGGTTTAATTCCTCAGCTCGTCTTGTTAAGCGAAAGCAACACGGAGGGGTCGGACTGCCTCATCTTGAATTATACTACAAAGATACTCTCCTAGCTAGGCTCCTGGACTGAATATGTCATGCACCTCAGAAATTATGGGTACAATTGGACTCGCTTATCTCCCTCCTACTTCCTTACCATGGATTGATTCCTCTTTCTGTCCCTCGAAGAGAACTCTCCCCTTTTGCATTCCTCTGATGCTTAGAATATGGGATTTACTCCTTAAAAGTTAATTCTTCGCATTTCGCCCTGGGCTGACCCCAATTATGGGAAATCCGGAGTTTTCTACTGGCTTGAACCACATTCAGATTTTGAGATGGGATAGATGTGTCTTTGTTCTGATCAATAATCACAGGAATTTCACCAGCACACACTTTAGAATTTCAAATATCAATATTTTTCATTGATACATTTATATTGTGAAAACATTTCGGGACCTCGCAGGGACCCTTCATCAGAGCGACATTTTCCTTAGTCAGTAGAGTCCAGGAACGCAATTTTAAAATTTGTCCCTATGGTATTATTGCTCAACTCGCCTCCATCTTATGCATGCTATCTACCCTCAGAGATCTGACCTGTGTTGGCAATGCTCATCCCAGTTTGGCTCCATACTACACATTTGGTGGGGTTGTTCTGGTGTTTCTTCCTTTTGGTCATCAATCTTTGCAACCTACAAGAAGCTCACTGGTATCAGAGTTGAATGTTCCCCACAATTAGACCTTCTTTCCATGTTACCAGGGTCCCTTAAGACTGCCAGAAAAGGCTTACTTCAATTTTTCATAATGGCTGCCAGAGCTGTGATACCGAGACATTGGAAATCCTCTATATGTCCCACTCTGAAGGAATGGGTTGATGAAATGCTATTCCTTTGTAGGATGGAGGAACTTACTGCCAGTCTATATAATCGCCATCCCCAGTTTTATGAGGTATGGAGATTGCAGCTTCATTTTGTAGCTTCATTTTTGTACCACTGAAGATTTACTCACGCTAATAGCTACCTGACACAGTCCTTTCCTTCTTCCTGGGTCTAATTCAGGTATCCATGCTGACCAGAGTCCTGCTGTGCACACCCCCTCCTCCTCTTTTTTTTTTTTCTTCTACATAGACCCAAGCTCTTTTCTCCCCACTTTTCTTCTTTTCTTCTATTTGCTCTTTTTATCCCACAACTTTTTCTTCTTTTCTTATATGTGCGTTTAAACAATTGAAGTTTAACCAGGCCGGTTGTAACTTATTCCAGGGCGGTGGTATAAATTAAATTTAGTTTAACAAACAAGTTATTGAACGTGCCACTTGTGAACCATAATTGAACCCAGGGCAGCAGTATAATTATACAGAGGTCGGTAGTATAATTCAGTATAATTTATTTATCTTAATCTAATTTAAATTATTTAATTTAACAAACAAGTTATTGAACGGGCCACTCGTGATCCACTAAACCCTAGATAATAAAGCTACAGTTAAATAATTAATCTTATATAATCCCTAATATACATTAAAAATAAA